ATAGTACCTGCTTTCTCCTCTGATGCCCACAAAGTGATTCTCTGCCAGACGTTTTTCACATTTGGGGTTAGGTTGGAAAGCAACAAAGATCTATCATGTCAGATTCTTGAAAACAAAGTGAAAATCGTTTGTGAACCTATCAGCATTGTCAAAAGGGGCTAAGGACTTCTAACAGCTAAATGTGGCACTTCAGCGCTTACAATGTGTCCATTTGAATGGACCACTTGCTGGAGTCCCATCTCACCATTCAACCGATGGGATGCTGACACAGTGGCTTCTCATTGCCAGTATCTAAGAGCTCTGCAATATCTCGTCAGAGGGGTCCTAATTCCCCAAGGGTCCTAAACATCCTCCTTAACAAAGGACCAAGTCCAAAGCAAACCAGCCAATTGACCTGCCCAAGAAGGGCATTTGCCCATTTCAGCAAAATGCATTATGGGAGTGTCCATAGTCACAGATGTTCAGGATGTGGATTTTCTCTTCAACATCAATCAGGCCTTTTTGCTCAGTGTTGTTGTGTTCTATGTTGTGTTCTATGACAAGAAACCTTTGCTCTGTATATAGCAATGGGAAGCCAAAGAGGCCGTTTCTTTGGAGCTGCTGGTCTACTATTTGGCAGCTTGGCAAAGAGTCTCTGTGAAATTTAGATTCATTCCTTTATGGATTCCTTACCTCATTCAACAATTTGTTAAAGATATGCTATGTACAAAGTCAGGGCTGGGCACCAGGAATAAATCACAGACACACCTTCAGGACAGCAAAATGTGCAGTTAAGGGAGGTCAGGGGATAACCAGTGGAGGGTTGGGAAAACAAAAGAAGAAAGTCTCCCAGTTTTACCTGGGATGGAGGTGGGGCCTGGGGCAGTGGGGAGATTTCACAGGGTAAAGATAATGGAGCCTGTCTTAAAGCATGAATGCACAAGGGGCTGAGGGGTGGGAGAGGGCATTCCAGGCAGAGGGAAAAGCAAAGGGGAAAATGGGGCATGAAATAACACAGCATACCAGGGAAGCTCTACATAGTGCATTCTAAGGGTGTTCACATTTGAACGTTGATAGCAATTCTCAGGAGTAAGTTAAGAGGGCTCCAAATACCCCTGCAAGGCTCTGGGTAAGCAGCAGGGCAGTGGGCAGCATTAGCTTACCAGATGTTGGCTGGGCAGGCCAGAACATTGCCTGGCTCAGAGTGCACCTTCCTACCCCCAAAGCGCACCCTCCACCTCCTGCCCCCACCTCCCTACCCTGGCACACCCAGACCACTGATCTCTTCCACGTCCCATCCCAGAGTCAGGGCTGGAAACCTTAAGCTGCCCTGACAGCCAGGTGGATGAGAAAGAGGTAGTGCTGAGCATGGAAAAATTAACTCTACACAAAGTTACTGAAAGATCTTCTAAAACAAACTCTCCTAACAGGAAGGAAGCTGTGGGGTGCGGGGGTAGGGAGGTATATTTATCTTGCACCTGGAGGGGCTGAAGGACTTTCAGTTTGTTAACCTTAATCAAATGAGACCCTGACATAGAAAAGTTTTCAGTTCTTTAAAAAATGAAATGAGAGAAATGAGAAAGGAAACCTACCTCTCCTAACTCCGTTATGGGCCAGATGCCACACTCAGCATTACCACATATGATGGACTGGTTCACCTTCACAGCAGCCCAACAAAATAGGTAGTGGTTGGCCCCATCTTAAAGAGGAGGAAACAGGCTCGGAAAGAGAACTGGTGACTTGTCCATGGCCACACAGAAATGACACGGGAATGAAATGAACTGTCAAGGAACAGTTCGGGATGCAAGTTTTCCTTTATGTTTCTATTATTGGCAATATTTCAATTAAAAAATTACAAATTATTGTACATGTTTTGAAACCTGAAACTATAGCATATATTTCTTTTATTTACTCCCATAATGTCTGGCTCAGTGTTTGGGACACATAGGTGCTCAGTAAATTCCTATTAATAAACTGTTAATTCAGGCTTGCTCACCAGCATCCATTTACCATTCTACAATTTGGTTCTCATAACATTTATTATGTTCTAACTAACATAAACTATTTTCTAAGACTCTTTTTCTCTAGAGCAGTAGTTCTTGGCCAGGGGTGATTGTCCCCCCCAGGGAACATTTGGCAACGTCTGAAAATATTTGGGGTTGTCACCTTGGAGCTGGGTGTTGTTACTGGTTTCCAGCAAGTGGAGGCCAGGTATACTGTTCAATATCGCACAAGGCACAAGGTAGCCCCCATCACAGACTTATCTGGCCCCAAATATTAATACTGCTGCTGTTGAAAAGCACTGGTCTAGAAGGAAGCAACATTTTGAAAAGTGGCTGACAGTATTGCTGAAGCCATTTCTCCTGTGGAAGAAACTAGATGGCTTACCTGCCTAAATGCATTTGACACAGACCACCAGTTAGGGCAGAGTGCCCACAGGTCAAATCTGGCTTACAAGTGTATTCTGTTGGGCCAGCATTGTTCAAGTCTTCAAAAAAAAAATGTGTTGCCAACATTTAAAAATAAAAAGATCTGGATATTTCTGCCTTGTCTTGAACAGTCAGAAGATCTGATAACACTGGTTTCTTGTTACCACCCAAGAGAGATAATATGTAAAATATTTGACAACTGACATAGTAGGGTAGCAGCCACTCAGAATGTATACCCCACCATCTGGAATGAATGTCCACTGTGAAAGACAGTGACAGTCCCCAGGGGGAGATGCCAGCCAGCCACTGACACCGCCAGCCAGAGCTGACGAGTGGCTGCCCCTCTGGGGAGGATGGGCACTCCCTACCCTGCCCTTGTGTCTCCTCACTTCTGAGGCTTGCCTCTGTCATCTCTTTACTCCATGTTTGTCTTATGCAGACTTAATGGGAAGATGAAGTCTTCACCAAAAGTGGGAAAATAAAAAAGAAAGACTGCCTGTTTCAAGGAAAAAAAATTTTTTTATTAGCCTACTTCTTTCATTAAGCTCTATGCTTAGTCCCTGTAATCCTTGGGTTTGTGGCCACCATTTTAGCTTAAACAAGTTCTCTTTTAAAATATGGAAATTCTCCTGAAGGACTCAGGCTGGTGGGAAAATTTACTTTCTATAAGCTTCTTTGCTTTCCTCATGTTGTAGAGCTAAGGTCAGCTGCTTGAGAAACTGGTGCTGGGGAATGAAATGAATAAGGTGAATTTGGTTGGCAGGACCTAGGCAAAGCATCTATTGCAAGCCTGGGGCCACAGATAGTGTGGCTCTTCTTGCTCCTTCCAGAAAATGCGTGGAGGGAGAGAAGGCTCTGCTGCTCCTTCTAGCTCTATCTCAGTATTCATTTCCTACCCATACTTCTGGAGGCACAGAGATTTGCAGAAAGGTAGGGGTTCAACCTTTGGGTGGAGTTTGGTCAAACAGAATCCAGCCTGAAGGCATTGGAAGGGCAGGCATATAGGGCATCAGGAGACAGAGGAGAGGAGCAAAAAGAGACATTGAAAGGTGCCAAAGAAACTTGCAGGCCTGCCTAAGGCAGTGGCCACTGCATGCTACAGACAAACGCTGGAGTTTTCTGATGCCTTCCCTCAGACAGTTACTCACACAAGCAGTAGTCTGGGTGGAATCAAGCTTTGAACTGAAGCATAAATACTTGTGCCTGAACCCTCTGCCCTTTTGCTGAAGTGACTTTAGAAGAATTCCAGGCCCCTTTGTAGGTTTTACCTTAGTTGTCCAGTGGTAGAGAACATATTCTGCCCAGAATGTTCTGGTGTGAGAGAGAATGTTTTGCCCATTTAATACCGAAAGCAAACCTCTGGCTTCTCAAGTGCATTTCTACCTTAAGGAAAACCATATGCACAAGGAAGATAAAGCCTTGGACACCAAGTTAAGAACATCAACACCCTTTACCGAACATTGTTAGGTGTCAAGCACTGTGCAAGACCATTTACATATGCCATTTCTGATTCTCCCAAGGATCCCACTAGGAGATGTAATTATTTCTATTTTATAGACAAGAAAATGTGCCTCCACCAGTCCAAAATCGTGTGGCTGATAAGTATTATGGCTGAGAGCCATTATTGACTTGTTTCATGGCAATGTCTATGCTCATTCCTCTCCAAGCTCTGCTACTCAAGACCCCTCTAACTTAGGGGTCACATTGGACAGGTTAAGAAGGAAGCCCACACCAAGTCCCAGCTGCAAAGGTCCTCTTGGCACCTCCTTCCCAGCTCTTACTCAGCCTATTTGAATGACACTTCAGGAGAAGCTGGGACAAATCTCTCCTTTGAGAGTGGGGTGACCAACATTGTATCCCCAAGATATTTATCCACTCGAGTCATTGTAATCATAGCTACTGACTATTGAACATCTGCTTTCCAAGTACTGGACAATGCTTTTTACACAGATGATCTTTAATTCCCTTTCCCCATTTCTCAAGTGTTAAAATAAAGCTCAAACAGGTTAAATTGCCTGCCTGATGTCATAGGGAGAACAAGTGACAGAGTCAAATTTCAGCCAAGACTCTCTAACCTCATGTCCATAGTCTCTCTACTCCAATCTGTTGTCTACCCCTTTCATAATACCATCTGAAAAACCCAGTGTGTGGTTAGTCCCTGAATTTTGCCTGCTGCATTTGGAAAGAACCCATTGTGACATTTGACTTTGGTCTTATAATAATCCTATTTCTGTGCGGGCACTGGGAATTTCAATGGGCCTATTGATCTGTACAACTTCCTCCTTTGGATGGTTTGCAAAGGGCACCTGTGGCTGGGTTCCCCAAGGCCAAGTCTCCCCTAAGAGGCATTGAAGCCCTTCTTGGGCTGCACAGAGGAGGCTGAAGGGGGAAGAAGGTAAACATAAGATGTCGACACTTCCTTCCTCTCCATCTCCATGCCCTTCTTTCTTATCAGGGAATATCTCAAAAGGCTCTGACATCTATTTCCTTTGGAACTTAAAGTCAAGTGTGGAGTTGCACCACTGGGTCCCAGGGTGAGGAATAGGGAAAGCAATGCTAGAGCCAGTTAGTATGAAAGAGCTCAGCCCTTACCTTAAAAAATGTGAGATTCACAAATCCACCCTGGAAATTCAAAAGGAGGTTGGATTTTTGGGAGCCACAGTTCCCAGAAGTTTGGGTTGCATTGGGGTCGATGTTGAAGTATCTCTGAGGTGAAAAAACCTAAACCAAATAAAATAGAGCAGATCAATGAGAAGTAGACGAAAACTCTAGCTAGGGAACCAGAAGCACAGGCTAGTAAGTGAGCCTGAGACTCAAGTCATGTGAAAATTTCTAAGTCCCTAAAAAACACCTCTCATTCCCAAACTATGTTCAAAAGATTTTTTAAAGAAAGAGTTCTCCCACAGGAAGAGTTCCTCAATCGATCATTTATAGCCAGTCTATTCCTGATAGACTGCATGGAATTTAATTTTTGTTAAATTAAGCATGTTACAGGGTACTATAGGAAAGGCCTTGCTGTCTAATGTTACTTCTGTTTCAAATGAAAACCTGAATGTGGAGGTTTCACAAAACCTGTGTGGAAAAACAAAGTATTATTTTTACAGTGATTCCTTTAGTAATCAAATCATCTTAACCCCACTCCCACCCCATCTAATCTTCTTGTTAACCTGGACTTTTGATACTAATGTCACAGCTGGCTGGAACCATGGACCATGTAAGCCAAACCCTTCACTTCACAGGAAAGTTGCTGAGGCCTGAAGTCATCAGGAGGGGTATGGTCCAGCTGGGGTCACCACTGAACACACCCCAACACTCCTCCCCTGTTGGCTAAAAAGTGAGAGGTATACATAGTTACAATTTTGTTGTCTGTCTTCATCCAGCCAATCATTATCAGTTTCTATTTTTATATGTATTCTAAAACAGATTCATCTTTTTTTTAAAAAGATTTATTTATTTATTCATGAGAGACACACACACACAGAGAGAGAGAGAGAGAGAGAGAGAGAGAGAGAGAGAGGCAGAGACACCGGCAGAAGGAGAAGCAGGCTCCCTGCAGGGAGCCGGACATGGGACTCGATCTCGAATCTCTAGGATCAGGCCCTGGGCCGAAGGTGGAACCAAACTGCTGAGCCACCCGGGCTGCCCCAGATTCACTTTTTTTTTTTTTTTTTAAGATTTATTTATTCATGAGAAACACAGAGAGGAGAGAGAGAGAGAGAGGCAGAGACACAGGCAGACACAGGCAGAGGAAGAAGCAGGCTCCAGGCAGGGAGCCCAACATGGGACTCGATCCTGGGTCTCCAGGATCAGGCCCTGGGCTGAAGGCAGAGCCAAACCACTGGGCCACCCAGGCTGCACCAGATTCATCTTTTAATGGAGCACCTTGGAGAAAGAGGAGCTTGCAGCTTTTTTTTTTTTTTTCATCAAAAGACACAAGATGCAGGGGAATATTTAATCTTAGCAAGACACACTGAACTCAAACTTTTTGAAGACAGTATTACAGTCGTATGGCCCCAACTTACCGACTCTGTGTCTTGAACCATAAGCTCTATCCCCATCTCTGCTTTGATGCAGAGCCTGCTTCCATTTAGAACTTGATAAATTCCAGTCTTGGGTGATGAAGGCCGAGGTGCAAGAGTGGGCCCAGAAGCTGGGGTGGCAGGTGAGGCCGTTTGGGTGGTGTTGTGTGCTGCTGTGGTTGGTCCCGGGGCATGAGTGGATTGAGCAGACTTGTGACTGGATGTGCTGTTATGTGTTGAGGTGGACAAAGTTGCTGGAAGGGTGGTCTGGTTACCAAAATGGGTGGTTTTCCTAGTTTTGTGGCTGAGAGTTGAGGGGTTGGTTCTTGTTGTATGGGCCAATGGAGTGCTGGTGGTTGGCAGTGAACCTGGGTCTGCACTGGGGCCAATTGTAGCCTCAGTGACTGGAGCAGCTGTGTTTGAGTTATTGGGTGTGACGATGGTAGTGACTAGGGTGTAGATTATTGGGCTGCTAGATGGGGTGCTGTTTGCAGTTACCAAGGAAGTTGTTACTAGAGTTTTTACTGTTGTGTGTGTGGTTGGGGGCTCAGAGCTGGAGGTTGTGGCAGCTCTTTGAGAGGCGATATGACCATCCATTGATCTTGCTGCTAAAGTTTGGCTAGGTACTTGGTTAGTTAGATGCAGGAAAGGTTTTGCTGTGGCCCGTACTGTTGCTGCTGTTGTAGGTTGAAAGTCCACAGTTTCTGGAAACACTTTTGCTCTTATTTGACTGCCATAATGCAAAATCACTGCAAATTAGGAAACAAAATGTTACCATGCTAAGAACTCACATTAGTGAGTGCCTTCCCCACCCCAAAGTGAATTTCTTCACTACAAATTAAAATTTATTTATTTATTTACTTTTCTCTTTGAGATAGTAACTTTATTGCTTCCATATATATATTCAGAAATGTAATTGCTGGATCACATGATCACATGGTAGCTCTACTTTTAAGTCTTTTTTTTTTTTAAAGATTTTATTTATTTATTCATGAGAGACAGAGAGAGAGAGAGAGAGAGAGAGAGAGAGGCAGAGACACAGGCAGAGGGAGAAGCAGGCTCCACGCAAGGAGCCCAACACAGGACCAGATCCTGGGATCCCAGGATCACTCCATGAGCCAATGGCAGGCACCAACCTGCTGAGCCACCCAGGGATCCCCCTACTTTTAAGTTTTTTGAAGATAAATATGACTTATTTTATGATTTTCAACCATGCTTATTTACTTTTAATGAAGAATGTGTATATATTTAGATTTGGGTGAAATTTATAATAGTATAACAATGAAGTGAAGATCACCAACAATTCTACCACAAGGCCACAATTTAAAAGTTTGGGTTGTACTCATGTTTCTTATAGGGTTGTGATCATACTACAGATATTCTTCTGTGTCCAGCCCCTTTGTCTGTATGGGGTGTGGTACTAGCACCACAAAGTGGTCAAGCTTAGCTAAATATCTAAGCATTGATGCCCTTTCATTCCCCATCTTCCAATGTGAATCCAGATAGTTCTGGATGGAGAGTGTTCCTGGGTGGGGTGTTGCTGTAATGCCCTGATAGAACTGGAGAGCATTAATGTGGTAAAAAAGACTTACATAGAATTATGTAGTTTGCAAACAATCAATCATACAATCCTAGTTTCGAAAGGGGTCTTAATAATCATCTAGTCCAAATCCTATGTGATATGTGAATTATATCTATGAATATTTCCATGTGTTCATCCAATCTATGCATAGTTACTTCCAATGATGGGAGATTTGTTTCCCTTGCATTTTTTTATTTTGCTGTCAGTTTTTGTAAAGATAGACCATTTCCTGTCATTTCTTTACATCACCAGGCTTTCTCAAGTAGGAAAGAAAATTAAGCCATAATTACTGTGATGCATAGGCTGCATAGGCAGTCCTTCATAGTTTGACTTAAATGCCAGCTCTTCAGAGAGTCTTCCCTGTCATTCTTATATAAAATAGCTCCCCACCCCATAATTCCCCAACACAGTGTTATATTCATTGCCTGCACTGCACTAATCACAACTAGTAATTATATAAGGGGATGGTATTAACATATTTAATAGTAAGCCTGGCCACACAGGGTATATCAGCAGAATAATAGTCCTGATTATATGTTTATTTGTTGGTTTATTGTTGACTGTGCATCTCTCCCACTAGATTAAAAACAACATCAAGGTGGAGATTGTATTTTTTTTTTCACCATCAGTACTTACACATAGAAAGTATTCAGTGCATATGAATTGGATGAATAGATAACTGGATGGGTAAATGAGGATAATAGCATGGTAGACCTTGGATTATTATAAGGCTCAAACAAATTGGTTTAAGTGAAGTTTTGCTAGACCATCAAGCATACCTATAGTGTATGTTATTGTCACAGGTTCTCTCCTAGGACATTCCTTAAGGGTGGAAGGTCTCTGGCTCTTTTTCAAACAGAATAGTTCTATCCTTGCCTCTTCCCAAGCCCATAGCAAATCAGAAAGCTGAGCAAAATGCAGATGATGTTCCTTGAGAGTTTATTATCAGGTATCTGAGAGATGGCTCTGTCTATTCAATGCTATGGTTTCATTGTATTTGCCCATTGTATTTATACTCAGGGGAGCTGGGGCTCCCTGGTGCTGGCCAGTGGCTTGGCAAAACACAGGTAAAAGGGAAGGAGATCACTCTATGTTGGTGTTTAAAGAGTACTGAAGTTCATATCTAATCAAAATCATCCACAAATTCCTTTACTATCTCCCTCTTTCATTTATTACATTTCTAAGTGATTATTTTTCCTGTAATAATAACAATAAAACATCCAAGTTAATGGACACTTACTACGGTCCTCAGGTCAAGGGTCATCTTTTTCCAACTCCTCTCAAAAACTTTCTGATGGGTTCTATCTTTATCAACTTTTCAGATGAGGGAACTCAGATTTAGAAAAGTCCCATCAACTTGACCATAATCCCACAACTAGTATGTTCTGGAAGTGAGACACCAAGTAAATTTTGGAGGTGACACTTGAGCCCCTGTCTGAACCAAAGCCTGCCCTTAGATCTGGGGTGGGTGGAGGTGATGTGCATCACTGGGAAGAATGGTGAGAGAAGATACAAAAGCAGAAAAGAGTGGGGTGCTTCTCCAGGAATCCAATATCACCAGACCCTCATAATGGTGGTCTTTGGTGAGGCTTTCAAAAGCTTATATGATAAAATAGTGATTATCTTCCAGAAGGAAAGTTCTCACTTCAAGCCCACTGGAAAGCTTATGAATCATTTCTGCACAGCTGGCTTGAAAAATGAGAAAGACAAATGTGCCAGTTCAAATTGCCTTGAATAACCTTTAGGAAAGGCTTATTAATGACATTAAGTTATGTTAGACTATTGCTAAATGGTCCTTTTTTGTGTCTAAAATGTTCATTTGGATACTTTTAAATGTTTGGTACTTGAGAGTTGTGGATCTTATGGGCTGTAGGTTTTCCTTGTAAGCTTTCATATAATCACTGTATGCATAATTTATACCTACATTGTAGAACTTGGAGCAAGATTTTTCCTTTCCAGATTGTTAAGACAGTTGACAGTGGAAGATTTGTTCTCACAATTTATTTGGGCTAAACCTGAGTTGCTGGTTCCTCAGTCATGACCCCAACAGAAACCCCATTAAGTTTATACTATTACTATGGAGAAAGAGAACTCATTCCCAGATGTGCTCTCCAGGAATATCTTGTAGTGGTGAGCGAAGATTGCTGTAGAGAACTCTGGGAGACTGGAAACTACTTGCCTTTTGTTCTCTTCAGGGGGATCATTAGATCCTTGACAAAAATCCCACTTGTGCATGGCTTATGGCTTATGTTTATGAGCTAAGGCAAAACTTTCTGAACTGAGTAGAATATCCTCAACTAAGTAACACACCCTTTGAAAGGGGGAACCTTCCTCATAATGTAATTAAAAGTCCTCTCTCAATAATGATAAATGAAGTCAAACAAGAGAGGAAAAGCACATTGATCATTCATGAATGCACAGCATCCCAAATAGGACAAGATGACTCATGGTACCCATCAAGATATACTTGGTGTGCAGGAAATATTTGTGGAGTGGCTGGAGTTGATGGCAGTCATGGTGTCTTGATATGGTGTGTGGCTTTGTGGTAGGCAGAAGCCTGGACCAGCAGGTAGCTGGACCAAAAGTGTCAGAGTGTGTTACAGATTGAACCAGTGTGTTCTCAGATAGCACTGGGAAATATTGTTCTAACGGTCTTCTCCTTCCCCATTGTGGCCTCTCCCCTCCCCTTCCCATCTCCCTGTAAAAGTGTGCGGGTATAAAAGATGGGCAGGTAATTAGATGGAAAACTGACAGGAGTGGTATGCTGTGCATACATTTTAGAAAGTTCATATGTTAGGTATTTATTAAAAATAATGCTCTGAAAAATACTCTGCTTTATGAAGTCTATGTATATGACCACACATATATGACCAATCTTTGTCAAAATTGGGTCACAGTTCTTAAACAGGACCTTTGACTCTGTAAAGGTTTAGTTAAATTCATAGGTCTGTCTGAGACCCACAAAGAAGGTGGCAGGCAGAAGTAAGGGCAAGGCATAACTCAGAATCTGTCTCAACCCTTCCTTTCCTCAAAAGAACACAGCCCTGGAATTCACATGCTGATTTGTCAAGCCACCCTGAAACCCCTAGCATCTTCTCCCCAGGATTCAGGAGACTCAGCAAACAAGTACCCCAGAACCTAAACCCATTGTTTGGACTCTTCTAGATGATGAGCTGCAGGAAGAGGTGTGAGGTTTGGATTCCCCTACGGTCCATAGAAGGAGCTGAGAGATGACTCATCAGCCAAGTGGGAAAGTCTGTGACCATGCAAGGGCTTTTTCTCTAGGTACTTCCCATATGGCTGGTCCTTCCCACATAGCCTTTGTTTGGTTTCCCTGCTGCACCCTGTTCAACAGATATATAGGAGCTTCTTCTGAACCAAGCTCCATGCCAGGCACTGAGTCTTTGTTTTTAGGGGTTCAACGCCTTGTGAGATAGACACATAAGTGGACCACATTCCTCGGTGTGACAAGTGTTATTATAGAAGGAGGCCCTGAGTGCAATGAGGTAGTGTAGGAAATCCAACACCAAGACAAATTCTTTAGGCAGACAAGAAAGTAAGTGGTATCCCAGGCAGGAGGAAAAGTATGTGAAAAGACACAGGGTCTTCAGAGCCTGGTAGATCTGGAGAAAAGCAAGGGGGTAAGCATGATGGAACATAAGAAGGAGGAAGCTGAGGTGAGAGGCGAGCTGAGAACAGACCTGGCTGGTCTTGGAGGCTACACTTTGTCTGCAGTTGGGAACACAGTTAGGAAGTAAATGGGAAGTAAATGGAGCCCCATGACCACACCGAGGGGCAGGGAACTGAATTTAGCCCCCAAATGCTTTCTCTAGTACCTCCCCTGGCAGCAGAGGCAGCCCCGGCTGGGCGCAGCAGGAAGACTGTTTCTGGATGTGTGAGACAGCAAGGGTGGGCTCTTAGATTCTGTTTCCAGTTTCATGATTTAAACTTCCATCTATTAGCAAAAAGATGCAGATCTTACCTCTGCTACTTTCCTGTTGGACTTGAGATTTGGAGAACCCTTATACAGAAGTGGCTCCAGTCCCATGGCATAGACTGCTGGCTAGCTACTCCCAAATCCAGCCTCCCCCTTTTTCCTTAGTAACAGAACCACAAACTTAAGCTGAGCCCTTGCTGCCTGGAATAAAGAACACTACCTCCAAGACT